GTATGTGAATAGCATGTGGGTGTGGGTAAGCATACATGTGTGTACATGTTTGTAGAGGCCAGAAGTTGGTTGTTGGGCATTTCTCAATCTCTCTTTACCTTATATATTAAGGCTTCTTGTTGGCACTTAGAGCTCCTGACTTCCTAGTCTACCTAACCTCTTTGTTGGAATATCCTTGGGTACACGTTCCATGTAGGTTACACATGGGTCACCCTGTCCACTGGATCCCAGCTCCAGTCCCTATGCAGCCTGTGATTTCACGTGCAGAACCACCTCCTCCAGCACAAGAGATAAATTTAAGAGATTACAGATGTAAAGTGGGTAAGAACATGGTTTGTACTCTGTTTCTGTGGAATAGGAAGTGAAGTCACAACTGATTTTCTGACTTGCCCATACACTAGCATCCTCTCCTCTTCTGTCTTTTCAGACAGCTTGCATGTATCTTGATGCCAGAAATCCTGAAGGCTAGATCACAAAAGGGAAGGAATAATTCAGTTGCTGGTATCTAGAAATACTGTACTGAATTCAAGAAGCCATGAATGAGGATGAAGTAATTACAAGTGGAAAAAAACCACAATGGAATTTAATTCTTCACCTGATGAACAGTAACATGCTGAACACTGTACAAGACAACAAGAAATCCACCAGTAGCTGAGTATTTGGGGACTCTGGGACTAAACTTTACCAGATCAGCTCATTCTCTCTTTTCTACTTTCTAAAGCAGGGTGACAGCGCCAGACCAGTGGAGAATCAATGATAACTGTTAATTTGTGTTCAGAAGCTCCAGTTACTATGTGGTTAACATGATGTGAAACAAAGACAGTTTAGTGCCCCAAACATTACATGGAGTGTTGAGTCGTAGTAAAAATTTATTAACTGGCCATCTATAGTTTTACTAGAAGTGTTCTGTTTTACATAGTTTAAAAGATAACCAAATTAAATCTACTATGACTGAATATAAAGTACATGGATATCACAGAGATCAACAGAATCTGAAATATATTGAGGAAGAGTCTACAAATGGTTTGTTTTTTTTTAAAAAAAATCATGCTTTTAACTTAAAGCAAGTATAATTTTTGCTATTCACTAGGTAATTCTAGCATGTATCCTTAAAATGCAGCTATATCTTACTTTAATTTTTATTTTAGCATACTTAAATGAGATCTATGCTTAAGTTTAAAGTGTGCAGTATATAACAGTGGATGGAGGTCTGGTGTTGTGGAGCCTGTCTCTAGGGCTGGCTCATCCTTCACACAGAGCTTTATTTCTACTGACTGTTCTTGGCTGACAATAGGGATGTTTTGCCTTTCTAAAAATTGGCACCGAAATCCTACATCTTGTAAACTGGAAGGAAACTTTAATACCTGCGGACTTTAGATAGCATTCTTGGATAGCTGATAACAAATTTTAGGTAGTACATCTATTGTAAGTCTTCTATCTCCTAGTTATTCCATTTATTTTTAAAAACTAAAATGGCAACATCCCAATCAGATGGTTTATGCAACTTTCCATTGGGGTCAGTCCTTCTTACTCTTTAGCAGGTCCTCCAGCCACAGCAAAGGACAAGGACCAGGTATTTAGGATGTCTTCTGATTCTTTGACCCACAGGCATGGAAAGACACTTAACATATTCAGAAATTTCTTTCCTTGAGATGCTATTATAAATCACCATAAACTTGGTTTTAGTTAGTCCTGTGTGATGAGATTTTTCCAGGGAAGATGAAACACACTTGTCCACTCTCCCAAAATAATCTTCCCACAGCAGACCAAAATACGAATACCATTAAAGTCCAGCTTGGTGAACCAGTGAGTTTTATGGGTGTTGTTTACAGGAATGTGGGTGAGAAGTTACTTACAGGAGCAGAAATGACTCAAAGAGAGCTGTATCACCAAAGCCCTCCCAGTATGGGTGACAGCTCACAAAGCTGGGAAGCTGGAGTACACAGCCCAGCCTGCAGGAAGCTGAGAAGTTTGAGAGTATCCTTTCCAGTTGCCTCAGTTGCCCTAAACATCTTCCAGGCAGTTCTTCTTGATGGACAACCTTCTTTGCACCTTGGCTCTGCTTATTGTGGTAGGAAAAGACATGGAGAATCTGGCCAGTTTCAGGGAGTTCTTTTTTTGTTTGTTTGTTTGTTTTGTTTCAAAACAGGGTTTGTCTGAGGAACAGTCCTGGCTGTCCTGGACCTTGCTTTGTAGACCAGGCTGGCCTCAAACTCACTGAGATCTGCTTGCCTCTGCCTCCTGAGTGTTAGGATTAAGGGTGTGTACCACCACTGCCTGGCCAGTTTCAGGAAGTTCTTGAAGCAATTTTGGGGGTATAGTGACTGTTTAACTCTTGCTTAAGGAGCTCTCCTGAAGAATGGAATGTTTTGATCTTGGAGAAGACTTTTACAAAACAGTCCTAGAAGCCATATTTCCAAAATCACATTCACTGGATAGAAACCAACATGAAACCAAAGCTATGCTCCCTCCAGAGGATCTGTGGGAGAAACTCTTCGATGCTCCTTCTGGCTCCTGGTGTCCTCTGCCACTGACTGGCTTGTGGCCACATTGCTGTAATCTTTGCCCTCAAGCACACATTGTTTCTCTCTGTGTTAACTCCCCTTTTGCCTCCCATCCATGAAGCCATGTGATTTCATTTAGGGTCCTCAAGGGTCAAGATAATCTTTCCACCTGAAGGTATTTTACTACATCTCTGAAGCCATTCATCATCATAGCAACATTCAGAGGTTCCAGGGAGCTGGAACTTGGCTAACCTTGGTGTCCACTGGTCTGTTCATGACTTCAAGATTGCCTTACATGTGTACCCATGTTTTGGAAGTCAAAAATTAGCCTGGCAGTGTGCTCCATCAAAGGCAGCTTAGCTGAGGTGTCTTTCACAGATCATGAAGGACCTTGTCTTGGTTAGGGTTTCTATTGCCGTGAGGAAATACCATGATCAAAAAGCAAGTTGGAAGGGAAAGGGTTAATTTTACTTACACTGCTAGGCCACCATAGTCTGTCATTGGAGGAAGTCAAACAGGGTAAGATCCTGGAGGCAGGAGCTAATGACACAGAGGCCCATGGAGGGTACTGCTTACTGGCTTGCTTCCCCTGGCTTGGTCAATTTGATTTCTTACAGAACCCATGACCAGGTATGGTATCACCCACCATGGGCCGTGCCCTCCCTGCCTCATTATCAATTGAGAAAATGCCTTACAGCTGGATCTCATGGAGGCATTTCCTCAACTGAGGCTCCTTTCTCTCTGATGGCTGTAGATTGTGCCAGGTGGACACACAAAACCAGCCAGTACAAACCTTGAATCCAAGTTTGAATGCTGAGTTATTTTACACAGACAACCTGAAATGCTAAGACAGATCAGTTTCCTCCCATATTTTAAATGAAGGTTATAGTGTTCATGACGTTACCAAGAGTTTTCGATCTGGAAAATCTGTCTATGTCTGTCTCAATAGTCCACCAGACTTCTGCTCAGTTTCTGGCAATGCAGCTAAATATGGATAAATGCATATGTTTTTTTCAAATATTTGTTCCTTAATAGGTCTATGACATTGTGATGAGACAGGTGTTGGGCTGGTCAAGACCAGATAGGTTGCTGGGAATCCAGTCCTTGCTGCAATGATTAATAAACAGCTTCCTGATCCCCCTTCTCCTCCTGGTGTCATCTATACAATGTCTAAGGAGCAGAGCTCTTCCAGCAGTGCTGGCAGGTGGGTGGTCTCTCTTCTTAGTAAGCACGAGCTTACTAAGGGATAAGGTTATCTGGGTGAGTGGCTGGGGCACGATATAGGCATAGAAATTTTATTATATGTCAGAGTTAAGACAATGAGTGAAACTAGACCTTTAAGAGGGTATTATTTTATTTCTTAAAACTCTTAAGAAAGTGAGGCTAAAATAAGAGGTAAAGAGAACAATGATGTCATTCTGAAAAGAAAGGTGTCCGGGAGGTTTTCTGTGGTAGCGGTCCTTAAAGCCGTTTGTGGCTGGGCAGTGGGCATCCAAGTGCACTGTTACGAAAGGCCCAAGGACTCAAGCTTGTGAATGTGTGGTACTTGGAGTCCATACTCTAGAAAAAGCTTTAAAGTGTCACATTTAGTGATAGCCCAAGTTATTAACCCTGCTAAGTCTCATCATAGTATGAGAAATCACTCAGCCAAATGTAAAATGTCCCGGGTTTCTACAGGACCTAGGATTTGGGATTCAGCCAAGCACCCAATTAAACTCCTCATTTCAGCGTGATATAAAATGACCAAAGTTTATGTTCATAAGTTAGGGGCAGTTTTGAGCATCCGTGAATTTACACTATGTCTTGAGGCTTACACTAGAGGCGGCTGACAAAGTTGTAACGGAGGCAAGGAAGCCTCCGTGACTGAACCGATGAGGAGGCAGCCCTCAGGACGGAACTTCAGACTTTGCAGGAATGAAAAAAACAAAAATCAAACAAACAAACAAAAAAAAACCTAATAATAAAATAGTCCTACAGAAAAAAAATCCACAAAGAGAATAAATGCATGCATGCATACATACGTATGTACGTACATACATGCACACATAGAAAGGAAATAAGGCTGATTTGGCTGAAATGATGCAAGCGACTTTGGAAGGTTTTCTGCAAGTGGCAACAACTGGGCTGATGGGTCAAGGCCAGTGACCAATCAGTGATTGATTTCTGGGAATAAACACATCTCTCTGATATTAAAAGTAACAATGCATGGCTCAACAACAGCAAGAACAACAAAATACATGATATACAGTATACAGCACACATTACATCGTAGTGACACCATCAACGGAAGGACCTAGGTGCTAAGGCTCGGCTTGTGGAAGGAAGGACCAGGCACCTTCCAGCCTGAGTCCAGAGGTTCCCAGGCGGGCGGGGACCATCGGGGGAAGTTGGAGCTGGGAGCTAGCGCTGAAGCACGTGGGCTGAGGGGGTGGGAGGACGCCGGGCGGCGGAGTAACCGGTGAAGTGTCAAAGAGACAGGAGTGGAGGGCTGCGGGGGTGACAGGGTGTGGTCTGCCTGGAGCGGGCGACGTGGGAGAGCGGGGCAGAGGCCTGGGGCTGCGGATGGTGCCGCGGCGTGCCGGGTGCGGGGGACAGCGCGCAGCTGAGCGGAGGCGAGGGTGTCCCGGGCTCGCCAAGTGCCCAGCTCCAAGCTGCTCCAAAGCCTTCGCGGACCGCGGGGCCGGACACCTGCGAGTGAGGAGCGAGTGGCGCTCAGTCTTCCCGGCAAGTAAGTGTCTCTTGTCTCCGCCGCCCGCGCCCTTCGCTGCCCACTCGAGCTCCCGGAAAGCGCGCCGGGCTCGGCGGCATCCAGTGATGCTCCCGCCGCGGGCGGAGAACATGGATCGGAGATAGGGACCCGGCAGTCGGGATGGGGACCAAAAAGAGAAGATCAGAACCAGGGAGCGGGAATTGGGACTAGGGAACTGGAATTGGGACCAGGAAGCCGGATTGTGGACAGGGGAGCGGGAATGGACAGTGGGGAGAGGAGACAGGGACCCACCCGAGGCCCCGCCGCTCACCCCGGCGACGGCACAGTGGCAAGCTCGGATGTTGCCCATCTTTTGTGTCTTACCCGATCCCAGAGCCCTGCCAGGCCAGGGGCGGGCCAGAGGAAGCCACTTTAAGGCTCCCGGCTCCACCTCTTTCTACCCCACAGCTCTGGGGATTTCAGTGTGGGCTATGGGGCGCTGGTGCCTGTCAGAACCCGCGGGGCCGCTGGTAGGTGGTAGCTGGACCACCCCGCAGCACCGCTGGGCTTATGTTCTTTTTAGGTACAGCGGCTCTAACTGATGGGTGTTGGGAGGCTGGGTTGACTCGGGAGCTCAGAGTCTCTTGCAGGGAACCACTTGCCTCCAGGCTTTTCTTGGGGTATGGGAGGGCAGGGTGGGGAACCAGAACCCAAGGCCGGGCGCCCGCTCCCAGGCTCGAGCATCCGCTAGCAGGTGCTCACTGGGTGGGTCCCTCGTCTGGCTCATTGTTCGCGGTGACTGTTCTTGGGGCCGGGCTGAGCGACACAGACAGAGCTCTCTAGGTTAATAAAAGTGTTGACCTGGAAGAGTGGGGGTCGGAGTCATCTTACCACACATTTTTGGAAAGGGACTTCTTGGTTCAGAGAGCAAGAGTAGTCGACAACCTAAGCCGTCTCTGAGTGCAAAACTTAGATCTGACTGATTCAGACAGCCAGCCCAGCGAATGGAGCTTCAGAAGCAAGAATGATATCCCCTCTCGTATTGAAATTGCTTTCAGAATAATGAAGGTGGAGTTTTAAGCATTTGGGGCAATTGGCTGTTTTCTCCTGCTAGCACCTGTTTCCCTGTTCTTGGGCGGGGTTTATTCTTTTTCTGGCCCTTTCCCTCTCTTCGTGGATTTGCATTCATTCTTTTTGTATCTTCAAGTAGTAAGATTGCACGGTTTTGGGAGAGGAGTCCCTTTTAATAAACAAAGTGTAAGTTCTTCTGTACATATGACCACACAGTGGTTTAGAGTCCATGGCTCCCCACCCTAGCCCTGATGTTAGCATTTAAGGATGGAAGTGGATGGAGACAGAGGCATAGGGAGCCTCATCTCCCTCCTCTCCTCTTTGGGGAGCCCCAGGACACTTTCTTTCCATCATAGCATATACATTCTTATTTGGCTTTTCCCCCACTCTTTACACGACAATAATATCACCTTTTTAAGGTGTCAGTGCCTTAGTCCCTGACCTAAGGATGTATTTGTCCCTGCTTTTCCTCATATGCATAACTCTTGGCCAGAGGTATTTAAATATCATTTCATGTGGGTATCGAATGCACACATATTTATGCATATGCATTATGTATCTGTAGTCGGTCGTGATATCAGTAGTTTCTAACAAACACCACTGCCCTTCTCCCTGGATTTGATGTTGTTGTGCCCACGACCTGCTAAGGGCATTGTCTGCTGAAACCTGGAGTTCAGCCCCCAGGAGAAACACCTCGTGTGAACATTTCTCTGACCGTAGCTTCTTTTGCTCTCGGAGGGAAGAGAAATAGATGGAGAAGTGTGGGTGTTGATTACAGTATGAAAAGCTGGATGACTGATTCTAAGGCTGTGAAGTGTGAATTAGGTAGATGATAAATAACAGTGGAAACCTGGGCATGCCTCTCAGTTCCACAGACACACATGGAAAGAATAATCTGTTCTTCTCTCTTCCCTGTCACTTTTAATGCTTCTAAGCTAAGTGTTTTTATGACAACATTGTTTTACTTGCATTATTTTATTGAGAAGAACTTTGGCTATAGCCTACTGTTACATCTTATTCTGGACACTGTGCCGCTCATCGGATGCACTGAATTATCTGTGCAGGTTTTCTTCTGTTTGCTTGCACTCAGTGTCCAAGTTAAGGCAGGAACAAATGAGCAATTGGATCAGCCAAGTTCTAATGAAGATTAAGACATGAAAGTTATCCAAAGCTACGTTCAAACCGAGCAGTCATTTAACCACCTCCCCACATGACCGATTTTTCAGTTAGTAGCTTGTTCATCTTCCAAAGTCTCCAGACGCTAAATTCTACTCAGATTGATGGCTACACTAAATCTTGATTGTAAAAGAACAGAACTTAATTATTTGGGTCTCATTTATCAGTCAGCAATGTTTAGTTAGCACTGCCAAAATAAGTATTTCATTGAAATATGCCTGACTTTAATGTGCGTTGGGAAAGGTCTTTTTAAAATGTGTTTCTTCATAAAAGAAAAACCAACTCCTTAGAAAGCCATAATTTTACTGCTTTGAGGCCCTGTAGCCATTTTATTTATTGAGTTTTCTCTTCCACAGGAAGAAAGAGGCATTGTTTTGTTATCTAGGAGCTGAAGGAACGTAGAAAGTGAGAAAAGAAGAAAAAGCAGTTTAAAATATTACTTACTTTTTCAGAGGAAAAAACTGTGATTTCAGCAAATACTATTTGTTTTCTTAAAGGCATACTAAAGCCATATTAAGGGCCATTAGCAAGCTTTGAGTATTGACATGTTACTGCTAAAATTTCATGAGATGTTTCTAGAAATAAAATCTGTACTTTTAAACCAATCTGGGGATATTTTCGTCGTTCTATAAATTATGAAATGCTACTGAATCACCATTATGGAAACACTGAAATTTCATCAAATATATATTGGAGTGTGCTGTCTTTTTCCAGGCGCTCTCATTGTAATAGCTTGTCCGTTGAGATTTAAAAGAACATCATTGATGTCATGGTGTGCTTTGCATTTTAAAATACCAGCTAATGAATTACAAACATTCATTACTCTACAACCCCTTGCTGTAATTTCTCAGGACCCCCAGATAGAGAATTAGTTGTACTGTACACTGTCATTGAAGTCTTCGCTGAGTCTATGTCAGGCTACTTTTCTTCAAAATGAATAGCCTTTTAAATCAATACCTCTTAAACCTGAGTCTTTTGATATTTTCCCCCTGTGTCATAAGTGTATGGTAAATACGTTCCACATAGCCTGTATGAAGGAACATACTGTTGAACACTTGGTGGGGGGCGGTGATTGGTGAGGGAAGCGGTGAGGAGAGAAGGAGAGTACCTTCCATTAAAATTTGAGTCAGAACTTGGCAGTCAGGAAGAAGAGCAGCTTTCCCTGAGTGGAATGCACTAAGAAGCTCTTCTGGATCCATAAGTCCAAGCCCATGCCAGGCATTTGGCTCCCCCAGACTCCACTTTCCTAAGCAGAAGCCCTGCCTTTGCTGGCTACATGTGACTGCTGGCTCTGGCTTCACATAGGTAACAAAGGCTCTGCTTTCTTGTACTGTTGTGGGGAGGACTCTTCTTTATGGAAGAGTGAAGTAAGTTAGTGTGTGTTTCCGGAATATTTAAGCAAAACCTTTTTGGTTTCCTTCCATGGCTGCTCACTGGATGTCCATTAAACAAGAGATGTTTGACATTCACTTGCTTGAGTAGACAAAACCAGAAATGTTGGTCAAATGACTAAACTATGCTCATCAATATAGTACTTTCAGTTTCCTTTGATGTAAACTAATTGAAGAAAATATTATTGAGTTAAATGTTGAGTTTAAAAATCAAGAATGGTTTCTATTTCTTTTAAGATGAAGAGCAACTTAATTAATGAGAAGGAAAGCATTTGTAAGATAAAGACTAAGACAGTCAATTTAATAATTCATGATATATTATATAGCCTTTTTAAAAAAAAATGTGTTTTCAGGGAACTAATGTAGTTTTCTTAAGTGGCTGGAGACAAATGATCGGATCTACAATGATGCTCTTTTTCTCCTTTTTCTTATCTTGCTCTGTTTATCTACTCATTTTTCTCTGTCAGGATACATCCTTTTGTTTTCAGTTGTGGAATGAGAGGGCTCATCAACATAGATGTGAAGAAGTAATTAGAACAGAATCTAAACGGGTCTAAAAGGAGGATTAATGGTAATAGAATAGTAGCCAAACCAAGAGATAAACTATGATCCCAAGTAGTCTCTATTCATGGTAGCTGTATCTTGTCTGAATGAAGATGTGAGAAATGATTAACAATTGTGTCAACTTATGCATACATCTATGGCATTAAAATGAAACCCCAATCCCTGATCTTAATGGCGTTGAGTACACACTTCCTAGTGGAGCACTCTCATAACAAGCCCTAGGCAATACAGCAAAGCAGCCACATTTTCTATTATTTTCCTAGGCGTATGTAAACTCCCAGCATTTTCTAGAGCTGAGGACAAAAAGGAATGCTGGTGAACTACTATGATGCCCTGAAACTGGAAGCTCATGCACTCTTTCTTTTTCAAACAAAAACAAATTTATTTTAGGTGTATGAGTGTTTATTCTGCGTGAATGTTTGCTTACTACCTGTGTATAGTGCCTGAAGGGGGCAGATCCTGGGACTAAGGTTAAAGACAATTGTTGGCCTCCACGTGATTGTGGGGAATTAAACCCCAGCCTCTCTCTGGAAGAGCAATCAGCACTCCTAACCGCTGAGCCATCTCTCTAGCTCCTCAAATTCTCCTCATTTCTCTTCATGCTTCCCCTTCTCTCCTCATTCTCCTCCCATTCTTCATCTTCCCTCCTCCCGTTCCCCCTCCTTCCCTCCTCCCACCTTCTCCTTTCCTTCCCTCATTGGTTTTTCCGCTTGCTACTTGCCTGGCACTGATTGGTAGGTGTGGCCATTCCAATAGCAAGTTTGCCCCACCAGGCTGGCAGCTTTTGAAATTTCTGTCCATGTAAATACAGTATTTGTTCTAAGTACTGCTCCTAAG